TATCTCTGTGATGTCTCGTTCCCGCTCTCAGGGAACCGAGGTTACTATAGTAACCGGAGCGTTCTTTTCTCAACACTCCTCAGCGTTAAAAGTGAACACTCGATGGTGATTGGCTAATTTTTTTTATCAACGGAGGCACGAGAGCTCATGGCTGCGTTCCACTCCACTTTTAGACACGCACTCGCGAACTTCCCTAAGCACTTCCCCTCGGGGGAATCCCCGCTGCCATTTTGAAGTGCGTTCCACTTCCTGAAGTGGACGAGGGAAGTTTATATGGACAGACCCTCGACCCCTCGATTTTGACCGAGGGAGCGAGTCTGCTTCATATGCACACTTCAGGCCGCTCCATAGACCACAATGCAACACGATTGTGACGTCATTGCAGATCGCGTTTAATTTATCCCCACCCCAAACAACTCTATAATATATATAAATTTTTTTAACATTTATAACAGCCTAAACATACCTATATACATATAGAATGCTGCACCAAACAAATTCATAAGGGAAAAAATGTAAACAATAAACCAACTCCATAGCTGATTCTAAGTGATCAAGGGCTTATACGTTGCAGTTCAGCCCATTCCAAGGGTTCCGCCAGAAGTGGGCACTCGTATATTCTTGCTCTTATTTTGTAATATGAGTATTGGAGGGCTTTTATTTTGGTATTTAACATCATACAGTTACGGACTGTGTGTTGGAAAAAAAATCGCGTTCGCTGGAAGAGGAGCACTGCATTCAGATCAGTTCTCTGACGGTTTTACCGTAATATGCAGTTTATGCGCGACCCTCGAAATAACGTGGCGGCTAGATTGACCGTGATTTTCGATTTGGCGGCTGGCTTGACCGCAGTAAAATTATGGGGAAGCTGTGCCTCCCCCGACGAGCCGCCACTGATGACCAGTAATCTCTCCCTAAGGCCAATGTAGACTGATTTTTGATCTTGCAAATACTTGTAAATTGCCACAAAAAAAACAGCCACCATCAATAACGAGCATTGTCTTTCCCCTTTAGATTATGCCCAAACCTCAAGCCATGGGTAAGTTCAATGCATCTTTCCCAAAGTGTCATCGTAATATTGAACGATTGCTCACATTTATGTTTAAGATAATGAATTCATTGTGTTGTGTCCAGTTATGGTGGCTATGGAGGACAGTCCAGCCAGAGTTACAGCCAGCAGAGCTATGGAGGATACAACCAAAACTCAGAGAGCAGCTCCGCTTATAATCAGGGTGGATACAGTTCCAGCTATGGACAGTCCCAATCAGGTAATACTCGATAATACTTCTAATTATACCTCAAATGTTGCGAATAGGCCATCTTTTGCTATCATATCTAAATTCTTGTCTTTTTATAGGAGGATTTGCGTCTCAGCCCCCCTCTCAGGGCTATAATCAGTCCAGTCAGTCATACAGCTCTGGAGGCTACAATAACAGCAGCCAGCCTCCTCCAGCTCAAAGTGGAAGCTACAACCAGCAGTCCTCTTATTCGGGCTATAAGCAGCATGAGTCTGCTCCTCCATCTGCCTCTAGGTGAGATTTCAGCTGTCAATCTGGATGTCAATGTGTCTAAAATCTAGTTTTGTTAAAGATAATGCTTGCGCTCAATGTTTTTTTTTTTTAGTGACCAGAATGTGAGGATGTTGATTAGAATGTGTTAAACCCATTTTGTGTTTCAGTAACTATGGCAACGGTCAGCAGCAGGGTGGGGGTGGATATGGTGGCAGTGGGGATCAGTCTGGAGGATATGGGGGCAGTGGAGGACAGAGCAGTGGATACGGGGGTAGTGGGGAACACCAGTCATCTCAGCATGGAGGAGGGCCTTACAACCAATCTCCCAACTACAGCTCTCCTCCAGCTCAAAACTATGGGCAACAAAATCAGTACGGACAGGGAGGTGAGCTTGAGAGATTCGTTTGGCAAGTCGTCATATAGAAGTTTGATGGTAATAGGAAGTAGAGCTGTTATATAGAATAGAATTGACATTTTTCTTATTTAGAAACTTGTTAACAAGCAACTTGCTCTTTTTTTTTTTAAAAGCCCTGTGGCTTAAACATTTGTTTCAGTTGTTTGTTGTAGAACAAAACAATTCATTCTAAACACAGATTTTACACACACTACCAGGCTTTCAAGTTGTTCTGAACACAAATTCACATAGAAATGTGCACCTTGTTGCAAAATTTATACTAAAATTTAGCACAAAATATCATCCATGTTTGAAATCTTCTGACTGGTTGGAATCATGGATTGAAAAAAACACAGAGTCTGTGCCCATCATACATTGTGTGATTTTCTGTGAAATCTGTCAACTCAAACATGTAGACTGTAAATCGGGGGAAAAATCTGTGCCAAAGTAGTGTAGTGTATTACAAACTTTAGATGACAACAGATGTAATCTATGTAAAAACAGAGGAAATGAGCATGCACAGTTTGTTATCCAGTATTGGTCAATAAATATCGACCAATACAGATAAACTAGAAAAATCTCCAAGATCAGCTGATAACCCATATGGTGTCAACATGTCATACATTTCTACTAAGAAAAGTTATTTCAAAGTGTCAATACAGTGCAAGGCTTTAATGTTTAGGGCAGACCAGACATATGATGTATTTCATTGTCATTGTATTGTATTTCTATTCTAGATTACAACCAAGATGCCTCGAGTGGTGGTGGTGGAGGCGGCGGCTATGGTGGTCAGGATGGTGGATATAGTCAGGATGGTAGAGGTGGACGTGGTCGTGGAGGTGGCTTTGGAGGTCGAGGAGCGGGTGGGTTTGACAGAGGTGGTCGTGGAGGACCCCGTGGCAGAGGAGGAATGGGGTAAGCAAATATTCATGTCACGCACTTTTCTCATCACCTTCACCACATAAAGTCCACCTGTATGCATCAGCGTTTCATTTAGGGAAAAAGTAACAGGTAAAAGGTTCAAATGGAGCCAAAGGTGTTACACCATATCAACTGTCTGGGCTGAAAGTAAATGGTGGCCTAGACCTTGATTAACTACCGTTAAAATGTCTTGAATTCTGGTGTAAAGTTACGGTCTACTTAAAACATTAATATGGAGTTAAACTCTATATAGATAGATCATCCAATTATGTGCCAGAATGGTCTGGTGTTTGATTTATTGGTGATTCTCATATTCATATATTTACCTAAAATGATACATGATGTTAAGTTGGTGCCAGTGTGCTGAATATTTCCATGTCTTCACCCTTCACAAGATGGAACCAGCTAAAGGTTCACATAAAATGAAACAAAAACTAAACGCAAGTTGCAATAAAGGACCAGGTCTTAAATAATACAATCTGTTCGTTGTTGACTTATCAGTGGAAAAAAAGGAATGCATTATGGGTTTGGACGTGACTTGTCCAGTGACAATAAGTTGATCATTTTACTACTTGTCTGTGGGAGTGCATCACATCACATGTTTGCCTTCACACGTCTACATTGCACATTGTGACCAGGAGTTTACTAATGTTATAATTCATTATATTTTTAGGTTTTATTGACATTTTGTTTACATGTAGTGTTAGTATAGTACATTGCTTTCATTATGATTTCTCATTTTATCAGTAATGCTTTTATTATGTTTTAGTTTTCAAGTAAGTTATAAGTAGGGTTGCACTGACAATGGTGTTCGGGTTTGATGCTATGTTAATATGTTCTGATACAGTAAAAAAAGTTAACATGCAGAGTATTGTGAACGACTGTATTGATTTTGCTTTCCTAGATTTTTATTTATTTATTTTTAGAATTTCACAAGTAGCATTGAGGTGCTTGACTTATTGGAGTGAATTGATTTGGAATGATGTTTTAATGAAAAAAAAAACCCTCTTCAAAATGCTACCTGAAAGTGAGGACATGAGTGTTCAGAGTGCTAAAACGCTTGCTTGTTTCTGCTTCTGCTGCCTTTTTTTTCCTAGATACCAAAAAAAATAGTATTGGCGCATCCAAAGTATCAAGAACATACAGTCTTTCACAAACACACCAAAATTGTATTAATGGGCAGGTTAAGGTTAAAATAATTATTTGAAGCAGCAGATGATAAATCCCATCTGGCTGTGATCCCACATTCTGGTCCACACCTTAAGGTGCTGTCATGTAAAAACACCTGTTCTCTAAATCTTCTCCATCCTCTCCTACAGGATTATTGTGTGTTGCAATGCTTTAATGAATCTTTAAATCTCCTCCTAGGCTGTTTTCTACAAGGTTCAGCGATTTAGGCTTTTCCTTTTGAAGAAGATAAAACAGAAACACAGCGCTCTAGAAAACTGGGAACTGGGAAAGATTAGTCAAGAATAAATTAGGCATGTGTGACTATAAAAAAAAAAAAAAACTTAAGGGCAAAAAAAAAAAAGGTTTTGCATTAGGGAATGTTTAAAGATAATTTCAAATCTTAAAGGGATCCTAAAACAGTTGGATTCATCCAAAAGTGGTCACATCAGTTATGTCTATTAATTTAAATGCAAAACTGAATGCAGTGTATGCAGTTTCTGTCCAAAGTAACAGAACATGGATACTGTTTGGTTGAAGGTCCTGGGCTAAAGATGTGCCTTCGATCTGATAAAATAAAATAACTGATTTGGTGAAAGAAAATGATTGAGTTCACAGAAGCACTGCAAATCTGCACGGTAAAAAGTATATGGTAATTTTTTTTTTTTTTTTAGAAAAATAGGCCAAATGGTTCGAAATAGGGGCCTGCATGATTTTGGGAAGGAAATATCAAAGGGTTTCAAGAAGCCCTTATGGGTTGTAAGGAAAGGTGAACCTAGTGAGAGGGGACAGCAGGGAAAGGGGGCAATGGGGATCTTGTCGAAAATATGATGGAGATGGGTAGGGCCTTTCCAGCCTCAAGAGTGAATTGGGGCACTACCCTCATCAACCTTCAATTCGTCTTGCTTCTCTCCTTCTCCGTCAGAATGGGCGATCGCGGAGGATTCAATAAGTTTGGTGATAAGTGACAAACTCTTTAAACAAGGAACTCTCTCTTTTAACAAGGTTTAAAGAGAGCCTGGTCAAAGAGGGAGAAGTGGGCGTCTGTTCGTGTCACAGAGAAACTTGCCTTATATTTTGTAAAAGAATACACTGAAAAGAATGTGGTAACCACTTGGTGTGTGTGTGTGTGGTAAACAACTACACTTTAATACGTTTAGCAACAGCATGCTCATTATGGATGGTTAAGGAAGAAATACAAACTCATCTGAAAACCATCATAGTAAAAAATCTTAGAGATATTTTACTTGAAAATGAGAATTTTGTAATTTACTTACCCTCATGTTGTTCCAAGTCTAAATGACTTTTTTTTCCCTGTGGAACGCAACAGAAGATATTAGAGAATTTTACAATACTCTCTTGTTAATGTCGCTACACACTTGAGATAATATTCTCAATATAAGGAAAAATATAGAATCAATATTTAGTGGAACAGGAATCTATTGAGCATATTCTGAAATATGGTGAAAAATGGTTGATATGTGTTAGTTTTGGCAGTTACATCTTACAGTCCAAAAGCATGTGACTCCAAATGGATTGTTGTGGTTCATCTGTTTATGCACTCATAAAAAAGCGGCTTACAATGCAATTAAGGTATGCATTTTTGTTTGTCAATATGTGCTCCCTGTGAATCAAACTAGGCACCATTCTTTAGATATGCAAAAAAAAAGAGTCAGTTGTGTTGCAAAAAAGACTTTTTCAATGCTTGCACCTACTGTGGCAGTATTGTTTTGTGATGGCTGGACAGTAAAAGTGATGTGCACATAACTTTATCAGCTGTACTGCATGTAATGCCTCCAGAAGTCTGGGAGCATGTTTAATATTAAAAAACGTTCGTCAAGCGTAAATGAAAAATTCCTGTACCGGTTGCTGATTTTTTTTTGCGTGGCCAGTTTTTTAAAATTTATTATTTTTTTTATCATCACTCAAACAATGGTATTGTTGGAATTTACCTTGAATTTTTTTTTTCAATTTTTTCAATTGAATTTTCTCTCTTTGTTGCAACCAACTTCTAGTGTGAGCACTTTTGCTTTATAAAAGGTGAATTCAGGTGGCCAACAACTGATTCTTGAGGTTGTATAAATGCATTTGTGTCAGGTGGTTTTAGTGTTTTACTGGTCTGATGAAGGTCCTGATGGAATAATTCAACACACAAACAAGTAAATGGTTTAAAACAACAGTAATGGAGACCTGGGGCCCATTCTTCGTACATCGCTAACTCAGTTAGCTGGATTTGATTGTTGATGATTTGGCATGATCTTGGATTGTTTGGTTCTTCGAAGCTCATCCTGTAGTTGCTGTCATAGCAACAAGTCCGTAAGCTTAAACCTGCTCAGGAGCAGGCTTATTTCATGTAAACGGGATTAGATTGCATCTTTTTAAGCAGAATCTCAATCCAGCTAATCTAATCATCTACAACATGTGCGTTCGAAGAACCGAATTAGCCAGATCCTGATTAGCGCGATGATATCATCTTGGATGTGACATTTCATCTCGGATGTAATAAGCGACGTACGAAGAACAGGCCCCTGGAGATGGAAGGAGTCAACATTACATAGCATATTCACAATATATATGAACAACATTTTCATAATGGTTTAAAAAGCTGGAAACCATCATGCTTGTGCACTGTAAAACCTGATAAGTTAAGAATACTCAAAACATTTGAGGAAACAAACTCATTTTTTTTTAAGTTAGTAGAGCTTAAAATTTTTATGACAAGTGGGGCGGGGCTGAGAGCCATGGGAGCCAAGCCAAGCCTCGCTTCCATGATCCCACCCCACTCATCACAATGATAATTATATACAACTTGCTTCCATTAACAGCACATTCATCCAGATCTTTATAGTTAAGAACTAGTTAGCAACAGCACACTGGCACATACTAATGTAGTTATCTAAAAGACTCACAATACTTGCATGTAAATAGTCAAACAACATGCAGTATAAATGGTCTTTAAGTTTTGCTGTCCATCCTCAACCTAACCACAGGCTCTACTCTTCACCACAACGGTAACACTACAAAACCAACATAACAGAAACCTATGTAAATCCTAGCATAACACAACATTTAAGTACTAACTTATGTCTCTCTATGTTAATCTTGTGTAAAAACACACAAAATTACACTTAATTTCTACATTTATTTTCCTTGTCTGATGCAAAGCATGCTGGGAACTAGAAAACGCAATCATTTTAAGTTCACCTTACTACAACAACATTTTCAATTTACTGAACTTATTTCAATTAAGTCCAATTAACTTTCATTATTATTTGAATGAAGTTAACTCATTTTATTTAATTAAATTCACTGTTCGGTTTTACAGTGTGTTCTCTACAGTGTTTCTAACTGGTAACTACGTCAAACGGCATCTAAAGGTATAATAAGGTGTTGAAACTTATCTGGCTAGCTCAAATTTGATATGAAGCTAGATCCAGTGAAAATTGTGTGGGTTTGTATGGAAGGAATATTTGCTGAAGATGGCGGTTTGTATGGTGAACCTAAAGGTGATTTCAAAGCCAGCTACACTTTGGGGTTAAGGAACATCTGTCTATTTCTAATAAAGTGAGTTATGGTCGTATTTTCTAATAATGAAAGTACACCATTTGGGTTTCAGTATTATTCTTGTTGATATCTTTGGATTAGACTGGTAAAATGTTTAAGATGGTGGTTCATCGTTGATCGTTGTAATGAATCTCTTGAAAACATCAGTGGTGTTGGTAACACTTCTAATGGTTTGCCAAATTACTTGCAGTTATATAAAAGTTGTGAAAAATGGTTGCTTAACCTGGGAAAATCTAATGTCTAGATGTACTCGGAGCAAAAGCAATGACAACCCAGTGTCTGACCGTTTGGAAATCTGCTTTTGTGGGATGGAGAATGAGAACCTTATCATATGGTCTATGAACGTATGGTCATTGATGTAATGTGTCCTAATATCACTTATTACAGTGATGTTCAGTGCTAATGGAGATACTCCTCATTAAAAAAGGTGAACGATACTGGTTGCAAAGTGGTATTCAGTGGTATTTTAAATTGGAATATAAAAAATTGTCCTTATTAGCTATGCACGTTTTAAATTTGAATACCTACAATTAATAAAGATGACAAGAAACCAACAACAACAACAAAAAACCAGTAGCCACTCTTTGCAAAGCAGACTGTAAAAGTATGGTTGCAGGGGTTTGAACTAGACGGTTATTGCATGGTTTGCTGCTTTCCAGAAAATGAGAGACAAAAAGCCAGTACATGGAGTTGTCTGATATGTATTTCGGATTGCCTATGAGTATAAATCGAGCTACAATTATCGGTATGGGAGGAAAGAGTCTCCCACTTGAGACCTTGGACTTATTCAAATTTTGGCCAGTTTTCGTCAGTTTTGGAAATGTGTAGTGTTGGTTGGTGCTTGTGGTGTTCTTCTCTCAAATATCCTGCTACAGTTTTGCATCAGGTCCTATTTTCTATATTTGGAGCATACATTATATATAATTGATGGTCCAGAAGTATATGACCCCAAAAATGAAAGTCAAAGGATTAAGAATGAGTAATGTGTGTGTGTGTAAATTGTGTATTTGTGTACATATGTAATATTAATGCCTGTTCCTTTCACTTCAAAGGGCCCAGGGATCATGGAGCTGGTGGGCCCAATAGTAAGTCAAATACGGAAACTAACGTAATTGTTTATTACTTGCATTTTTAGACCGTTTTTAAGCCTGATTATACATTTCAGAATTTTTTTTTTTTTTTACAGTGCGGGAGCAGGATAACTCTGACAACAACACCATCTTTGTGCAAGGTCTCGGAGACGACTATACTGTTGAGTCAGTAGCAGATTTCTTCAAACAGATCGGCATCATCAAGGTGGAAAAGCAAGAGAAAACTCCCATTGTGCAGCAGCTATCTTAGCGTAGTACTGCTTGTCTTAATGTTGTTTTATTTTCTCACACAGGTCAATAAGAAAACAGGATTACCCATGATAAATCTGTACACGGACCGAGAGACAGGAAAGCTTAAAGGGGAGGCTACTGTTTCCTTTGATGACCCTCCTTCTGCAAAAGCAGCCATTGATTGGTTTGATGGTATGTTGAAGTAGATCACACTAATGCCTTTTCTCTAAAACAAGGTTGGAGTCTGTTAGTCTTATTGCATTTTTTGATTTCCTGGATGTCTAAGTCACATACATCTTTCCTCCTCAGGTAAAGATTTTAGTGGAAATCCTATCAAGGTGTCCTTCGCTACTCGCAGAGTTGAATTTGGACGCGGCGGTGGTGGCATGAGAGGTGGTCATGGTCGAGGTGGTAAGGTTTGATCTCTCTGTGGTATTTTAAGTTATCTCCTTTTCTTTTAGTCTGTTTTGTTTTCCTGACATGGTTTTCTTCTCCTTTTGCAGGGCCAATGGGCCGTGGGGGATTTGGGGGTGATAGTGGTGGTGGTGGTTTCCCAGGCAACAATGGCAGCAGCCGCGGTGGTGGCCAGCAAAGAGCAGGAGACTGGAAATGTTCAAACCCGTAAGTGTTGTTTTGTAAACTTTTAACAAATTGTGAAGTGTTTACAGTTACATAATACAAATTATATACAGTACACTCATGTAAAGCATTATATACTATAGCAAATCTCAACTGGCAGCTTTAACAATGTGTATTGTGAGTTTAGCGCTATGTAAATAAATGTGACTTCACATTCATATTTTCTGAGCTTTTATCTTGTGTGTGGGCCAGAGCATGTGAGCGAAGCGGAGCGGTGTGACGCTCCGCTACGTTTTCCGCTCTATGGACGTACGCTCCGCTCAGTCGCTCTAACCGCCCAAGCAAGCGCTCCGTTAGCGAGCGGCGCTGGGCGTATTGAGCGAGCGGAGCGGAATCTTCAGAAAGGCGCTCTGCGCTCTTAAGGAAATATTACCACTCCGCTCCCCGCTCCGCTCACGCTCCGCTCCGCTCACATGCTCTGGTGTGGGCAGAACTTGTGGTAATTTGAACTTCTCATGGCGAAATGAGTGCAATCAGTGCAAAGCTCCCAAACCGGAAGGAAGTGGAGGAGGAATGCCACCGATGGGAGGTAAAGAGAAACATTTCTGCAAAAAAGAACAAGATGCTGCAGTCGTAGGTGACTTAGGCCACGTTCACACAGCAGCAGAATACGGGTGTGACACAACCGCATTCTGTAACCAAACTCACACCTGTAAATTTTCAGGACTCAACCGCATTCGTGGAACACACGCGCTGTGTGAACGGAACAGAACGCTCTGGTTACTCGCGTGCACCGCATTTTATACTGCCGCTCGAGCTCGTCAGTATTTGAATGCGATTTGCATACTTCGCGTCAATTGGCCAGTCATTGGGACTGGCGGGAGCCAATAGGACTTCAGGAAAGGTTGGAAGGGAAGGAGTTCCCATAACGGAAAAATATCTCCGTGATGTCTCGTGAAAGCTCGAGAGGGAACTGGACAACTAGTTGTCTGTCATGTCATACAGTGCGAGAGAGAGCCGCTCTGCCGCACAAACGCGTGTTTACCGTGTGTTACGTGTTTTCGGTAACTTACAGTGACGGAGAAATGAGCTGCGTGTCTGTCACCTGAAATTTTTAGATCCCGTCAGTTTTACACCGGAGCCGCTCCCGTCAAGAAAATGCAGTTGTCAATCCCAAAAACTGACAGTGTGAACGTAGCCTTAGTGAACCCAGACAGTGGATTGCTGCTTTAATGTCCCTGTTTTTGTAGGTGGTTTTGGTGGAGGCAGAGGCGGTTTTGATCGAGGTGGTTTCCGTGGCCGTGGTGGTGATCGAGGGGGCTTCAGAGGAGGATTTGGACCCGGCAAGATGGACTCGAGGTGAAATTACTGATGATTCGCATTCTCACACATCTTAAAATGTTATTTAGTAGAAAACTGATTTTCAGTATACTGTACAATGTTCACCAGTGAAAATGTATTTCAGTGCCTATGTTGTGTGTTTTTCAGAGGTGAACACAGACATGACCGCAGAGACCGGCCTTACTAATGGGAAATTCTCTTTTGTCCAAATAAGACTTTATTTCAATGTGGGACCAGTATTTACTCCACTTCAACATGTGTTACCTTGTTGCTCATGTTTTGTGTTGTATGTTGTTAAAATAATTGTTTTTGTTTTAGTTCTGGTCATTTTTTTTTTTATTCTCTCTGTATTCTGATATTCTTAATCATGAAATTTGTTTTTTTCCTTTCTGAATTTGTTGGTGTTTAGGTCAGTTGTAATATTTGTGCAAATTTTTTAAAATGTACTTTCTTTTACATTTTTTGAAAACTGGTTTAAAATTAAAAATATTTGAAAAATAGCTAACTTGTTATGTGGCATTACTTTATTTCAATATCTTTTCATCCACGTTTCCAAGCCATTTGCATTGATCTCACTGTTTTGCAATAGTGGTAAACTGTTTGTCTAGTGAATGATATGCTAAAATAACTGCTTAAAGATTAATGGCACAAAGTTTTCATGATGGTAATTTATCTATGGTTTAAATAATAGGAAGAGGTTTCAGCATGTCAAGAGACAAAAAAGATGGTGAGCTTGAGGTGCATCCCAGTTACTCAACAGTGCACACTTGTGTATAGAGGACCAGATAGATCAAAAGCAAATCATGGCTATGAAATAATAAAAACTCCCCTGAATAAAGTTACTACTAGCAGTCCTAAAACGTTGATGCTGATGCAGGCACCAAGCCACTGTCCTTTGAAAGGTCAATGAAGGTGAGACCACAACAAAACAGTTGAGGAAGTTTGAACTGGGACATCCAACTTGCATCCCAGGAGTCTTTTAGGTTGTTTTGAACATTGGCATGGAAAAAAAACAGGAGCCAACAAAAGCACAGGTAAGAGAAAGAAATTATACTTACCTACCATTATGTTTACAAAAAATACCCTTCAATTTTATTAAGGAATAACAAACTGTATCGATAAATGTTTAATTACTTTTTAAGATTGTAGCAGCGCCACCTGCTGTCCTCTAACGTGTAGGTATTTCTGAACTTGTGGATGGAATAAGAATAAACAAATAATATATCTGCACCCATCTTCTAGATTTGTTGTTTTTACTGTTTAGTAACGTAAACATTATTATAAATTTGTCGTGCAAAATCTTGCTATATTTATGTATAGAAAATAACCTTTTAAGTAACGCAGCTATATCAAGTTCGCACTTCGATGACGTAAAATTAAATGAAAATGCACATTCGCCATAAAGAAGTCACACTTACATCGGTCAAAAATATTTTGAGCTGTTCTGAGAAAAGTAAAGGCAGGAAAATAATTTCATTTGAATTTATATTACTACTACTATATGAAACTAACCACGTTCTATTTTGTTATTATTTGTTAAATATTGCATAGCAAAGGAACATAGCCGGGAATTATGTGGAAAGTGCGAGTGCCAATGCAATGGTTAGTATTTCTAGTGACTGATGGCGAGCAGGCGAGGTTCTCAGGTTAGTTATGGGATGGCCGCTTACTGTATTATGTTATTCTTTTTAGTACATTTAATTTTCTGGCGAAATTTGAAGACGTTTGCCGCATCGATATTGCACCGGAATACAAGCGACACCGTTTTAGACCATATTTAGGGCCCATACTTCAAAACGGAGCTAGATTTTAACTAAGGATTGTGTGTTTTCCCCGTCCGATACAGGCCTAGCTGTAGCGAGCTAGCGGCTGTCGAAGCGGGCAATCCTCCTCAAGACGCGCGCGCCGTTGTGTGAGTCTTTTGGCACATCGTGTAGGAATATTTCTTTTTAGTATTGGGAATTGGTCTAAATTCGTTTGCTAGAAGTCATTGGTATTTGCCCTGTATTCTACTGTCACATCGTTTTGAAGTTGAACTTTAGCTAGCTCGCGCTGTGAGCAGCTAGCAGCTTCAGTGTTTATGATGTTAGCTCGTTGTTGTTGTTGCTAGTCGATATGTCAGATAGTATGTATTACACAATATCTGCAGTGCTTTTTGTTTATTACTCCGTAAAACACAGCGGGGAGCCGTGCTTTTATTTTCCACGCTTTATTGTGTGTGATAAATGTGACATTTTAAGTTGAAGATAGCATATTTATCTAACAAAATATAAGGGACGCAGAAGTCAGATTGATAACAAAATATTAGTCAGCATCTTAATAAAGAGGTGACACTTTATTGTGTGTGATAAATGTGACATTTTAAGTTGAAGATAGCATATTTATCTAACACAAATATAAGGGACGCAGAAGTCAGATTGATAACAAAATATTAGTCAGCATCTTAATAAAGAGGTGACCACATATTACAGCCCACTAAATAGAAATCTGTTTGTGTGTGTTTTTATAAACAATGTCACGTTGTTTGTTATTATTTTTTTGATGATTACAATGCAAGGTTTTCAAGATGGACTGTCATATTGGTTGCTTGGTGAAATGAATGAGCCATAAGTGAAAAGCTTTTCTTATGCAACTTCAACATGTGTCATTGAGCATCTGCACAACATCTTGCTCTCGTCTCTTTCTCTGCAGTGATAGCATGGATCCGGACAGTGGGGCGGACACTCAGCGAACTCTCAGTCTGCAATGGAAGAGCTATAAGCTAGTACAAGACCCTGCTATCCGACGGGTTGCTCAGAAAATTTACAGATATGATGGGGTTCACTTTAGTGTACCGGTATGGATGTACATATACAGTACATCTAACTGCCAAACGGAGCATACTTACACTTTTGTGTGTGCATACTTATGTAAAGTTTGTGTTCTGCTTGTTTTTAGGATTCAGGATTCCCACCTGTGGGGGACTTGCGTGATCCAAGACCCCGCAGAATCTGGTCTAGACACACAGAGCTGTCACTACCAGTGCCCAAATTCAAGGTATGCCTCTTTTTTTATCATTTCAATTTATTATGCTGCTTTTCTGGTGAGCTTTTTGTATTTGTCTATTTTTGTATTGTGCATGCTAACCCATTTCTTCATTTTTATTTTTTTTTGCTCTTCATAGTTGGACGAGTATTATGTAGGTCCTATACCACTTAAGGAAGTGACTTTTGCGAGGTTGAATGATAACATCAAAGAGCCTTTCCTGGCAGAGATGTGTGCCAAGTTTGGTGAGGTTGAGGAAATGGAGATTCTGTTTCATCCCAAGACACGGAAGCACTTGGGCTTGGCCCGCGTCCTTTTCACCAGCACTAGAGGGGCCAAAGACACTGTCAAACACCTGCACAATACTTCTGTCATGGGAAACATTGTCCATGTCCAGCTAGATATCAAAGGTGTGTTTCTGTCTTTTAATGTTTTGATCATTAATATTCTGAGGTATATACTTTCTATATACACTACTGTTCAAAAGGTCAGGGTCAATGATTTTCAAAAAGTTTATTTTTTGGGGGGGGGAATAAATGTTTTTACTCAGCAAGGATGCATTAAATTGATCAAAAGTCACAGTAAAGACATTTGTAATGTTACAAAAGATTTTTATTTCAAATAAATTGTTCTTTTGAACTTTAAATTGATCAAATAATCCTGAAACAATGTCTATCATAGTTTCCACACAAATATAATGCAACACAACTGTTATCAACATTGCTGATAATAAAAAATGTTTCTTGAGCACCAAAGCAGCATATTGCAATGATAGATCATTTAACACTGAAGACTGGAATAATGGCTGCTGAAAATTCGGCTTTGCAATCACAGAAATAAATTACATTTTAAAATATATTAAAATAGAAAATGATTTTCAAATTGTAATAATATTTCTTAGTATTACTGTTTTAGCCATATTATTAATCAAAGAAATGCAGCCTTGGTGAGCATGAGAGATTTCTTTTAAAAACATTACTGGATATTTAATCCTTCATGCTCATCTTCCCCCTTTTTTAATTTTAAATGTATTTTGCCTTCATCTAACTCTCATTAAAAATTAATCTTTAAAACCAATAGTAATTTAATAATTTTATTAAATGTCATCCTTAGAAAATCTCTAAATGACTATCCATTTTTCATACTTAACATTACAATGTTGTGATGCCTAAATTTATTTGTAGCATTTAAAATGTATGATTTTAGTTATTTATTTATTATATTTATTTGGATAAAAAAAGAATAAAATTGTAATTGTTTGCATTCCTACTTGCAAAGAAATGTCAAAATTAATTTTAGAATAATGCTTGTTTATATCCTTACATCTCTTTATTTCTTGAAAATATGAAACATAGTGATGATGAAACTGTATAATGAAAAAAATGGAATGTCCAGCATTGCATGATGGAAATAAATGCGCCACTCTGTAGTTGAATTGATATTGTGTGTTTTCTAGGCCAACAGAGGATGAAGTACTATGAATTGATAGTGAGTGGCTCATACACCCCTCAGACAGTGCCGACTGGAGGCAAAGCTCTCACTGAAAAATTCCAGCCCCCAGCCCCGACTCAGCCAGATACAGTGAGTACCAAACAAACCTTAGCTCAGCCACACTGGAAAGAATGCTTTGCTTTCCTATAAGTGTGTGCGGTTACCAGCCAAAATTTATTGGTGTCCTTGAAGAGCAATGGCCTTCCTTGGTTTGAGTTGTCTTGCAGTTTATTCTACACATTACAGTCACTCTCAAACCCCTGTCTGTGTTATTATAGTGACCACTAGTGGACCACAAAATGTCTAAAAAAAAAAAAAAAAAGAGCCATCAAGCATCGCTCAATGCATTGAGATTTTCCAAATGCAGATGAAAACTGTTTGTGTCTGTAGACGGTGGCTGCTGGCGTTGAGACTCTACTGGCGTTGGGGCTCTTAACTCAATATCAATTGGCCATTTTTTTCAGATATCATGTTTGTGACATTGTTTTTCCCCTGTATACCAGCATTATGATGTTCAGTGACCAATGTTGTTTCCCTAACTTATCTGTAGGAGTTTTGGATTGCTTGCAGCCACATCCTTGTAATAAAACAATAATAGGGGATTTTATTGGTCATACTGTATTTTATAAGACTTTTTTTTTTTACTTGATTTGAGACAAAACGATTTTTATTGCCATGTTCCTAAATATTCAGTGTAAGTGGGCCAGTCACAGTTCAGGGCCTTATATTTTATATCCCTCTGGGCCCTGTTTAGCACACTATTTACTGTATTTTTATTAGGAATGCAACATTATTTAAATGATGGATGATGCAGATAAAGATGGCCAATAACTCATATATTTCTAATATTAATTCTATATATATATTTTTTAATACACTACCATTCAAACATTTGGGGATGGTAAAACATTTTTTTA